ATATATATATATATATATATATATATATATATATATATATATATATATATATATATATATATATATATATATATATATATATATGTTGTCCAAAGATTATTTATCTTCACTTGTGTTTATGCAAGTATAGGCTTATATATGTATATAAATATATATATATATATATATATATATATATATATATATATATATATATATATATATATATATATATATATATATATATATGTCGTACCTAGTAGCCAGAACGCACTTCTCGGCCTACTATGCAAGGCCCGATTTGCCTAATAAGCCAAGTTTTCCTAAATTAATATATTTTCTTTAATTTTTTCTTATGAAATGATAAAGCTACCCATTTCATTATGTATGAGGTCAATTTTTTTTAAAGGAGTTAAAATTAGCGTAGATATATGACCGAACCTAACCAACCCTACCTAACCTAACCTAACCTATCTTTATAGGTTAGGTTAGGTTAGGTAGCCGAAAAAGTTTGGTTAGGTTAGGTTAGGTAGGTTAGGTAGTCGAAAAAACATTAATTCATGAAAACTTGGCTTATTAGGCAAATCGGGCAATGCATAGTAGGCCGAGAATTGCGTTCTGGCTACTAGGTACGACATATATATATATATATATATATATATATATATATATATATATATATATATATATATATACACACAAGATTTCTTATATTCTTGTCGAGCCATTAGCATACAATATTCTCAGTGGCTAGGCTCGCGACGAAGCATCAGCCACTACAATGTCTCGTCCTCTTTCGTGTCGTATGGTCAGATGAAACTATTGACGTAACAGAAACCACCTGGTTAACCTTTGATTTGAATGCTTCATTTTACTCAGAAACACCAGGGGGGATTATGGTCTGTATAAACAGTAACCGGCTGTCCTCCCCTGCTTGCGTAGACATCAAAATGTTTTTGTCCCATGAGTAATGTCAACGTCGCTTTTTCCACCGTACTGTACAATCTCCGATGCTTCACCAATTTCCTGGAAATAAAAGACACGGGCGATGAATTTCACCTCTGCAGCGTCAATACATCTCCAGCCCCTACATCACTGGCATCTACAGCTCCAGCCCCTACATCACTGGCATCTACAGCTCCAGTCCCTACATCACTGGCATCTACAGCTCCAGTCCCTACATCACTGGCATCTACAGCTCCAGTCCCTACATCACTGGCATCTACAGCTCCAGTCCCTACATCACTAGCATCTACAGCTCCAGCCTCTACATCACTGGCATCTACACCTCCAGTTCCTACATCACTGGCAGCTACAGCTCCAGCCCCTACATCACTGGCATCTACAGCTCCAGCCCCTACATCACTAGCATCTACAGCTCCAGCCCCTACATCACTGGCATCTACAGCTCCAGCCCCTACATCACTGGCATCTACACCTCCAGTTCCTACATCACTGGCATCTACAGCTCCAGCCTCTACATCACTGGCATCTACAGCTCCAGTTCCTACTTCACTGGCATCTACAGCTCCAGCCCCTACATCACTGGCATCTACAGCTCCAGTTCCTACATCACTGGCATCTACAGCTCCAGTTCCTACATCACTGGCATCTACAGCTCCAGTTCCTACATCACTGGCATCTACAGCTCCAGTTCCTACATCACTGGCATCTACAGGTCCAGCCCCTATATCACTGGCATCTACAGCTCCAGCCCCTACATCACTGGCATCTACAGCTCCAGCCCCTACATCACTGGCATCTACAGCTCCAGTCCCTACATCACTGGCATCTACAGCTCCAGTCCCTACATCACTGGCATCTACAGCTCCAGTCCCTACATCACTGGCATCTACAGCTCCAGCCCCTACATCACTGGCATCTACAGCTCCAGCCCCCACATCACTGGCATCTACAAATAGTGAAAAACGGCGCTCCAAAATCTGGTTATACCAACACAGGCGCCTCAGTTAATAGTGTCATCGTTTTGTCGAACACCTCTTGGGCCACTCCGCCCCATTCCCACTTCTTGCTATTGGAGAGCAGACTTGTCATAGGTGTGGCGACGGTAGACAAATTCATACAAAATTTCCTATACGATCTAATCATCCCAAGTATCTCATCACCTCTTTTTTGCCCCTTGGGTGCCGGGATGGCCTCGACCTTCGTCTTTACTGGAGCGACCTCACCTTGTCTGATCACGAAACCTAGGTACTCCAGTCGGGCTCTCCCGAACTCACACTTTGATAAATTTATAGTCCTATTGGCCCCCCCTCTAATCGGCCGAACAAATCAAGAACCTGTTCACATGCTCTCTCCGGAAGTCTTCGAACACCACAATATCATCTATGTGCACAGCGCACCCAGTTGCACTTCCTCACCCGTTGGAAGCAGATACAACTGTTCTTCATTCCGAACGGTAACACCTTGTACTGGTATAACCCATCATGCGCCACAAATGCTGAGATTCTCTTCGCCTCTTCCCATAGGGGTTATCTTGAGATGATTTCGGGGCTTTTTAGTGTCCCCAAGGCCCGGTCCTCGACCAGGCCTCCACCCCCAGGAAGCAGCCCGTGACAGCTGACTAACACCCAGGTACCTATTTTACTGCTAGGTAACAGGGGCATAAGGTGAAAGAAACTCTGCCCATTGTTTCTCGCCGGCACCTGGGATCGAACCCAGGACCACAGGATCACAAGTCCAGCGTGCTGTCCGCTCAGCCGACCGGCTCCCTAACATTCATCTAATAATATTTCAACAGGTCTATTTTTAACACATATCGTGCACTCCCTATCCGGTCGATACAGTCATCAATGTGCGGTATTGGATGGGAGTCAATGACCGTGACTATGTTCACTTTCCTGTAATTGGTACAAAAACGGTATGTACCGTTGCTCTTAACGAGGAGGCAAGGTGAACTCCATTCACTGTCGCTTATCTCCTCCAGATAATTGTCCAGCAGATACTTCACTTCCTTCCTCATTGTTTCTGCTTTGTCTGGGATGAGGAGACATCGCACCGTCCCGCGAGGTCTCATCGGAGCATCAGTAAAAAGTAATCCATTTGCCCGCAAAATATTCACCAGTTCCTGGCGCTGCTCATCCTCCAAACGAGTCAATTGCTCCTCCACCTTGGCCAGGCTGTCTGGGTTAGTCATCTTAACTCAGTCTGCCCTCTCTAGCTTAATATTTGTCTTCCTCCATTTCTTCTCCCGGCCTGACACAAAGCACAGTCGCCAGTGGCGAGGTTTCTGTCTCTTCCTTCTCTTCACACGGGTGAAGAGAAGGTCATAGTAATTTGTCATAGTAATTTGTCATAAGTTGACGTGACAAAGCTGGGATTTCCTGGGTGGATCAGGCATGTGCACCACGTAGCTTACCTTCCCAACACCTTGTGTATCGTGTACGGTCTACAGAACCTTAACTCGTTCACATTTCCTTTAACGGGCAGGAGGAATAATACTCGTTTCCCTTCTTGAAACGTTCTCTCCTTAGTCTTCCTGTCGTACCACTTGGGCTGGAAGGCCTACCACAGGACCTACCTCACATGGACCGGTAGGTTGGCCATCGTCTGGCTCCAGCACCAACACCCATACTGCCACAACCTGAGGCTCGTCTGGGATACCTTCAAATTCTTCTTGGCCAACTCTCTGGCCCTAGAGAGTCGCTCATCAAAAATCTTCACATACTGCCCTGTATCCAGCCTCTTCCTTTCCTCTGTGAGCTGTTCCCTCGACGCTCTCACTGGACTCCTCACCGAGTGCCCGTACACTAATTGGAAAGTGGTGGGGCCCTTTCCAATGTCTAGAAGAGTGGGCCACAATGTATAGGAGAGTGTGGCCCACTCTGCTAAACATTGTCAAGGAGAGTGGGGCCATACTGTATCTAGGTGAAGACTTTTTATTTCCAATCAAATTTTAATTGCTACAAATTGCCCATCAGATCACAAATGAACACTGCCGTTGGCCGATTGGGCCCAGCCAGGCAGGTTTTGTGGTAAGCTTACTGCTTGGTCCCTGTTAACAGTCTTGAATAAGGCTTACTGCTCCATATGAAGAAGGACCTGTTGCATGTTTAATAGTTCAACGAACTGGTCATTTTGAAGACTGAGTCACTGAGAGGGTAAATCCTGTGGTAGGCCTACCGGTCCATGTGAGGCAGGTCCTGTGGTAGGCCTACCGGGCCATGTGAGGCAGGTCCCGTGGTAGGCCTACCGGTTCATGTGATTCAGGTCCAACTTGCATCCTATCATTGTCACTCGTGATATTTGGATCAGTAAAGCTGCCTGTCAGTTGTTCCACTGGTTTAATAATATTGACCAAGAAATCTTTGCTAATATAAGTCTTAACTTCTTATTTAGGTCACGTTTTTTTACACCTTCCATCCGCTCGCATGAACCAGTCATATCTTCTCTTCGTTCTTTTCCTCTCATGATAATGTCACTAGTGTAGTTTCCGTAAGGAAGGTCCCAGGTGTTGCATGCTAGCTTACCTGAGGTTTACCTGTCGGCGGTTCTGAGAGCTTTTCTACCCCTCAAGGCCGGCTTGGGGTCAGTAGGCCCGGGGTCAACTACTGAACCGCCGTGGCCACCATAGAATGGAGGCAGACAGCGGCAAAACTGTCAGGCAGTCTATCCTCCATCTTTCTGTGGGACAGGAGTAAGGTGCCATCCTTCTAACTAAAAGGTGATGCTATCCAGCAGTGGTGTTCCGTCCTGCCATTAGATTGATCGAGGATTGATTCCCCGAGGATACGGATGAATGACATATTTGTTCTCAATTGTGTTTGCAGTTGCATAGCTTGGCCGTAATGACGCAATACCACGGCTACATTACCGATTCCCCAGGGAGAATAAAAGTCATTTATTTCGATAATCAGCTCTATAAATCGTGAAGAGCTTTCGTTCTTCTATGTCTGCAACTTTTACAGCAATCTTATTTTTAGACTTAAAATTAATTACTTGATACATTCCTTTGCGTCTTGATGTGAATACAGAACTCACTTTCTAAACTGTGTCTGCAGACAGCGTGTTTGTTCCTGGTGGCCGCCCTGGCGGCGGCGGCGCCCCAGACCTACCAGGCTACGGGGGTGCTGGAGCCCGAGTCTTCAGACCTTGGCTCAAGGGAGAGGATCGTCGCCGCCACCATCGACATTCTGCCAGAATTAGCCGAAGCCTTCGAGCGAATTGGAATCGATGGTTTCAGCGACGGTGAGCGAGGCCAGCAGGCGATGTTGGAGTTCTTGCCTCTCACACGCAAGCTCTTGAAGGCCAGGGCAGACGCTGAGGGCACTGAAGTAAGGAAGGAGGACCTGCAGAGAGTCAACGCCGCCGAGGCTGTCATGCCCGCAGTCAACGACTTCGTTAACAGACTCAGAAAACTGAACGTGTATGGATCCAGTGATGCTCAGCAGTAAGAATAAATATCAGTAACGTGTATAATGGACATTTTAAAACGTCCATTATACATAAAATACATTATAGTATGCAGACAATTCTTAAAGTGTAACTTATTTATAAAACTGTATTTAATATTGTCTCAATAGATTTGACTAGCAATAAATTTGTGTTTATATTCGAAACTCTGACGAGAAAGTACCGAAGCCTTCACTGAAGAGCCAACCTGAGGCTCGTCTGGCGCCAACACCAACACCCACACTGCCACCACCTGAGACTCCTCTGGCTCCAACACCAACACCCACACTGCCACAACCTGAGGCTCCTCTGGCTCCAGCACCAACACCCACACTGCCACAACCTGAGGCTCGTCTGGCTCCTACACCAACACCCACACTGCCACAACCTGAGGCTCCTCTGGCTCCTACACCAACACCCACACTGCCACCACCTGAGGCTCGTCTGGCTCCTACACCAACACCCACACTGCCACAACCTGAGGCTCGTCTGGCTCCTACACCAACACCCACACTGCCACAACCTGAGGCTCGTCTGGCTCCAGCACCAACACCCACACTGCCACAACCTGAGGCTCGTCTGGCTCCAGCACCAACACCCACACTGCCACAACCTGAGGCTCGTCTGGCTCCAGCACCAACACCCACACTGCCACAACCTGAGGCTCGTCTGGCTCCAGCACCAACACCCACACTGCCACAACCTGAGGCTCGTCTGGCTCCAGCACCAACACCCACACTGCCACAACCTGAGGCTCGTCTGGCTCCAGCACCAACACCCACACTGCCACAACCTGAGGCTCGTCTGGCTCCAGCACCAACACCCACACTGCCACCACCTGAGGCTCGTCTGGCTCCAACACCAACACCCACACTGCCACAACCTGAGGCTCGTCTGGCTCCAACACCAACACCCACACTGCCACAACCTGAGGCTCGTCTGGCTCCAACACCAACACCCACACTGCCACAACCTGAGGCTCGTCTGGCTCCAACACCAACACCCACACTGCCACAACGTTTGATCCTCAGAACTATATTACAAGTAACTTTTTTTCAACTTCTTGGATGTCATTCCAGACATTGTTTATGCAGCCTCACATTGACTTACTCGAGATAAGAGCGAGATTCCACGCTCTGAAATTAGAGCTCATAAACTCCAATGTTTATCACTATACGAATATTTATATTTAACAAGAGCTGTTAAGTGACTGAAACTGGACCAATGTTGGTGAATGTAAATTACTATTAAAACATCCTCAATGTTCTTGATAAGCGAGCGAGATAAATTTTCTGACTGACGTCAAAGATCAGGAGATCTGATCTCAGGGTTAACCATTAAATAAATATGTAAAAGTGACTCGGAAAATATCCAATTGTGATCAAGTAGCCTGTAGTGGACCTCAGATGGGCGCGACCACAGGAATTATAATTACTACAAAAAAAATGATTTACTGGTTATTGTTGCCACGTCCTCTGTAACTGTGTTCCAGAAGCACCTGGTGTGTCACAACACCAGTGTAGCAACACCTAGTGTTGCTACACTGCACGATTCCATCCACCCGCCAACCCCCCCCCCCGGTTTATGAATGAAAAACTGTTTACACAGAACTTTTTTAGTGTCAGAGTGGTTGACAAATGGAATGCATTAGGAAGTGATGTGGTGGAGGCTGACTCCATACACAGTTTCAAGTGTAGATATGACAGAGCCCGATAGGCTCAGGAATCTGTACACCTGTTGATTGACGGTTGAGAGGCGGGACCAAAGAGCCAGAGCTCAACCCCCGCAAACACAACTAGGTGAGTACAACTAGGTGAGTACACACGACTCACAACAGTTGACGTGCGAACACTTCCGGAACAAGTGCTTCACTGACGAATTTTGTTCGAACCACAACGCTGTAAATGCCAGCCCGTCCTCCAAACAAAGATCCAAAAGTGATTCCATGCACCCGCCAACCCCCTGTTTATGAATGAAAAACTGCTTACACACGACTCACAACAGTTGACGTGCGAACACTTCCGGAACAAGTGCTTCACTGACGAATCTTGTTCGAACCACAACGCTGTAAATGCTTCACCCACGTACCACAAATACAAATAATCGCAAACAGAACCTAAACACCTAACCTAACCTATGCCTATATATGCACAATATGCTAATATATTATAATATTAATTTGTATTTGAGAAAATTCCCGTTTTGAATGAACAGCATGTAAAAATTTATGACTGCGTCTGTGGGGTCGACCGCTGGATGTAATGGACTTGAGTCGAGGACTGGTGGGTTTATAACAATAACAAGAGTTGTTTGGGAAGTTTTCATGCTTGTAAACTGCTTAAAAAATGTAAACAAAGCCATCAAAGATTGAGGAAAGATGGACACGTTCGTAAGTACTTGCTTAACTGCTTCGTGAATCTGGCTCCGGATCCCACAACCCGTTCTCGCACTTTTTTACAGTCAATATAGAAAACACCGACTTTACCTAACCTTCTTAGTATGTTAAGATAAGCATCTTATTGCTTCGTAATTACAATTATTACTTAACCTATACCTATAATAGGTTAAGTAATAATTGTAATTACGAAGCAATAAGATGCTTATACCTATACCTATAATAGGTTAAGTAATTACTGTAATTACGAAGCAATAAGATGCATATCTTAACATACTAAGAAGGTTAGGTAAGGTCGGTGTTTTCTATGAAGCTTTTCAAGGTAAACTAAAATATTCACAATAAATTAGTATGTCACATATGCACTTATTTAATAAGTCAATATTGACTATACGAAAGTGCGAGAACGGGTTGCATCCCAACCAATGAAAAAAATATGTCGTCACAGCGGAGGAAACCCGCAGCTCTATCCTCTGCACCTGAATTTACCCCCCACGTAAAAAAAAGAGAACTAGAGTTGTGTTAATCGGAAAGATATTAACGAAGGGGAAATAAAATACAAATAGGCACCATTCCCGAGTTGCCAGCCAGCAAGAAGTGCATCACAATTTGCTCAGAGACAAGAGAAGTTATGCAAGCGCCTTCACAATGGTGTAATTGGCAATAGGAGTTCCTGCGCTCCAGTGACCCTGTAGTTCCTAGAAGCTCAGATTAATGAGCCAGTGTGTCAAGGGAGCAGTAAAAGTTCACGAGATAGCGAGGTGGTGGTCCTCTACTAGTCGTGGCTGCCCTCCGCCACCCGGGGCTGCCCCTCCGCCACCTGGGGCTGCCCTCCGCCACCTGAGGCTGCCCTCCGCCACCTGGGGCTGCCCTCCGCCACCTGAGGCTGCCCTCCGCCACCTGGGGCTGCCCTCCGCCACCTGAGGCTGCCCTCCGCCACCTGGGGCTGCCCTCCGCCACCTGGGGCTGCCCTCCGCCACCTGGGGCTGCCCTCCGCCACTTGGGGCTGCCCTACGCCACCTGGTGCTGCTCTCCGCCACTTGGGGCTGCCCTACGCCACCTGGGGCTGCCCTACGCCACCTGGGGCTGCCCTCCGCCACTTGGGGCTGCCCTACGCCACCTGGTGCTGCTCTCCGCCACTTGGGGCTGCCCTACGCCACCTGGTGCTGCTCTCCGCCACTTGGGGCTGCCCTACGCCACCTGGTGCTGCTCTCCGCCACTTGGGGCTGCCCTACGCCACCTGGGGCTGCCCTCCGCCACTTGGGGCTGCCCTACGCCACCTGGTGCTGCTCTCCGCCACTTGGGGCTGCCCTCCGCCACCTGGGGCTGCCCTTCACTAGCAGTGGCTGACGTTCCCACCCGTGACGTACCCTCCACCACCCGCAGCTGCCCTCCACTTCCCGCAGCTGCCCTCCACCACCCGCAGCTGCCCTCCACCACCCGCAGCTGCCCTCAACCACCCGCAGCTGCCCTCCACCACCCGCAGCTGCCCTCAACCACCCGCAGCTGCCCTCCACCACCCGCAGCTGCCCTCCACCACCCGCAGCTGCCCTCCACCACCCGCAGCTGCCCTCCATTCTTTGCCCACCACCCACGAGTCATGGTACTAACATCTCTTCAAACCCATGATTTTACTGAGCAATAAATCCCACTTCCAGTTCCATCCCGCCGGCTTATACATTAGAATATCTTTACTATTCAAGACCTACAAGGTTTCTTCTCTGGATTACTCCTCTCATATTTGGGGGCGGCTTCCCCCCTTTTTCCTGGTCTGGATAGCAGCTTGTATCTGGGCAAGCTTCCCCCCCCCTCCCTTCCTCTCATTCCATGTCTGCTCTACTAGGCTCATATCTGCTTTAAGAAACTCTGCTTTACCAAAGGTTATTAATGCAATTCAGAACAATATCGGTCGTTCATTTGCCTCATTCCTCTATGATTTAGTCATAATCTCCCGGAAGAGCGTTGCATCTGTTTCTATAGGTGTTGCTAGCTCTAGGTGTTTCTATCTATAGGTGTTGCTAGCTCTAGGTGTTTCTATCTATAGGTGTTTCTAACCCTAGGTGTTTCTATCTATAGGTGTTGCTAGCTCTAGGTGTTTCTATCTATAGGTGTTTCTAACCCTAGGTGTTTCTATCTATAGGTGTTGCTAACTCTAGGGGTTTCTATCTATAGGTGTTTTTAGCCCTAGGTGTTTCTATCTATAGGTGTTTCTAACTCTAGGTGTTTCTATCTATAGGTGTTTCTAACTCTAGGTGTTTCTATCTATAGGTGTTGCTAACTCTAGGGGTTTCTATCTATAGGTGTTTTTAACCCTAGGTGTTTCTATCTATTGGCGTTTCTAACTCTAGGTGTCTCTATCTATAGGTGTTTCTAACTGTAGGTGTTTCTATTTATAGGTGTTTCTAACTATAGGTGTTTCTATCTATAGGTGTTTCTAACTGTAGGTGTTTCTATTTATTGGTGTTTTTAACTCTAGGTGTTTCTATCTATAGGTGTTTCTATCTATATGTGTTTCTATCTATCTCACCTTAGAGGTGTTTCGCATCTTTCTATCTATAGGTGTTTTTCTACGGTTCACGGTCTGAAACATTTAAGTATAGTTTTCTCTTCAATTACAGTCACTCAATACCTTCAATGCATCTTATTCTCAACTTTACTGTTTGTTACCAATTCAAGAATTGAAAGTTTCACTCTATCTTTATTAATATCTAAGTCATCGTGGAAGACAGCCTTCCTTATTTTTTTTAATTAATCTAACATCTTTGATCTAAACTCCTTTAATTACTGTTAAACTAAATTTTATTCTCAGACGGGTTTTTTTATAACTATAATTTTCATAACCAATTCATAATTTTGTGTTTATAATGACAGCTGACTTTAAGCAATAAATATATACATTTGTAAAACTCACTTTTGAATATATATATATATATATATATATATATATATATATATATATATATATATATATATATATATATATATATATATATATATATATATATACAGCTGCCCTCCACAAAATGACCCCTCACTTGCTCTAGTGCTCTTGGGAGGTGGTGGTCTTTGGAGTGTTAAATACTCCGAAATTACCATCTCTTTTAGGGGTGTGAGCAGGTGGTGGAGTGGGTTAAGGCATATATATATATATATATATATATATATATATATATATATATATATATATATATATATATATATATATATATATATATATATATATATATACACAATATTACTGGAACTGTGGAGAACTCCTCTTTCAGCTAAGCTCTGATGCTAGAAAAATAGAGGGATAGAACCCCAAAATCAGAAAATAGTAAATACAGAATATGCGGTCAAATTCAATGAGACATATTTAAAAGAAAACCTGCTGCCAGTTGATAGTTGATATCTAATATTGTTTTCCATCTCCCAGCCACTTGGACTGGGCAGTAGAGCGACGGTGTCGCTTCATGCAGGTCGGCGTTCAATCCCCCACAACCGTCCAAATGGTTGGGAACCATTCCTTCCCCCCTTCCCATCCCAAACCCTTACCCTGACCCCTTCCAAGTGCTATATAGTCGTAATGGCTCGGCGCTTTCTAATGATATTTCCCTTTCCTTTCCCTTCCATCTCTCACACAAAAACACTGAGGAACGCAGTAAAAATGCGTATAAGTAAATTGTAGAAATGGGGGAAAATAATGGTATTGAAAAATGTTTAGACTTGTGATCAAGGAGAAACATAACACACACACACACACAAGATGAAGGACAAGGCTTTCAAGGTCAAGGTTATCCATTAACTTTCCGTTTCACCTTGACCTGTTAATGGTCATTGAAACGTGTGCCGGAACCCGTTCAACGGGTGACATTTAGTTTCGTACAATTATACAGGACGAATAATTTGGATATGTTGTCTTCCATATAATTCTATGATTATCTCGGCGTAGCATATATTATCAATACGCAGGTATTACAAAGATATCAACAGTATAATATCAATAATACGAACATTGGGCACCCCCCTTCCTCCCCGTCCGAAAACAGGCGGGGGTGGGTTGGCCGCCCGTTTTCGGACGAGAGTTGCATTTAAAACTAATTTCGTAGTCACTTGGAGTTTTAGAACAGTGACAAAAAAAGGACAGTAGGAGCCGGCGTAGAGACTGGTCTGGTCACCAACTAGATAACAACCAGTGCAGTAGGGTCAATACTATTCTACAAAGACCTTCGATCTTTGGCCTACTTTCTGTCCTCCTTTCAAAGCCAGAAGAAATAAATACCTCTTGGCCTCAGATAAATACATTCATGAGCTGAAACAGACACAACGAAAAGAGAACGCAGGCCAGTGGAGGGAAGTGGACTTGATCAACAGGTCTCGATCAACAGGACTTGATCACCAGGTCTCGATCAACAGGACTTGATCAACAAGACTTGATCAATGGGGACTTGATCAACGGGTAACCAAAGACTAGCATGAAAAACAACAGACAGGAGATGTTATATATGTTTCCACGTTTCCTGAAGACACTAAACCACAGCTGATTACAGAGGAGCATTGTAGCTACCTCCATACCCATGCTCCTCAAGATCATTATACCCATTCTTCCATACCCTCGCTCCTGACAGCTACCATCACAACGAGGCGGCGAAGGGTATTCACCATTACCCACAGCAATGGGTCTGATCTCTTCAAACTTTTTTGTTTTTCAGGGTTTAATTTCTTGGGAAGCATAAGCAGCTAGGCTGTTGTTTACAAAAGTTGCGGTCTCTGACTGGAGTGTGTTTACAGCAAACTGTCCTCAATGGATTTGTACCTTCGTGACAATCAATTCAAAACCACTATCTAATTAATGCTATTATTTACTCATTATCCATGGTAGGTTAGGTTAGGTTAAAATTGTGTTATTCTCAAACATGTGAAATATGAAATTCGAAAACTATTTTAGTGTCCCATAGATTTTAGAGAAAAAAATATGCCTTAGGGCATATCGAAGAAAATGAGTTTAACAACATATTTCTATGTATTAAGCCGTCGATTTATAATACTATACAGTTATAACAAGATAATATTCTCTCTTTAAAACAAATGTTCATTTGTCAGTTTGCAAGTAAACTATAAATAATGCAACATGAGAGTACCTAAATGGAGGATTGGAATCTTCCGTATTGCTCCAGTGGATTTTTTCAGGAAGATTATTATTAGAACTGTAATACGCTTTCTGATCATCACAAAAAACGAAAAAAACTTGATAACTATGCAGGTGGTGTGAGGGAGTTTGGTGGCTCGGCTTACTCTAAGAACGGGCTCCTTTACAGCTGTTCTAAGAACTGGGTTTACCATCTCCTTGACGAGTTACAGCCCTGCTCCTGTGCCAGGTCAGTCCACTACGGGCTCACCATAGCCCGTGCTACTTTGGAACTTTTGTTCTAAGTAGCTGAATCTAAAATAACATCTCCTAGACACATTACAATTCCCAGTTGGCGTAGTGGTAACACACTCGCCCCACACACTTCTCGAGCGATTTGGTCTGGGTTCGAGTCTTGGCCTGGGAACATTGTGCGCCAATCACGTAACTGTTCGTCTCTATTCACCCAGCAGTAGTTTGGGTACCTGGTTGTTACTCGATTGACGGGTCGCGTTCTTTTACGGGCTATTCATGCCCGGTCCACCTCTTGGGTAGTTTAATCGATATCAATCGGGTCGCGTTCCAGGAAGACCAGTAGGGTACGGCATACTATGACCTATGGGAAGGGAGAGTTCTCAGCCTACTAACATGAGTCAGAAGAAGTCTGCGCCTTTACCCACATGTGTCAAAAAATGACGATGCCGAACATAACACTAAACCTTGTACCGTGAAACAAGACATAGTGTGTGTGTCTTTAGCCTTAAAGCAATACAGACAAGACAAAGATCCTGTGTATAACGCCTGAAAGAGTTCCAACTCGTGCAGTACTCTGGGGTCCTGCAGTTCCGACCCAGGGGCCAGGGTCCCTGGCTGGGTACGTCCAGGTCAAGGGTCCCTGGCTGGGTGTGTCCAGGTCGAGGGTCCCTGGCTGGGTGTGTCCAGGTCGAGGGTCCCTGGCTGGGTGTGTCCAGGTCGAGGGTCCCTGGCTAGGTGTGTCCAGGTCGAGGGTCCCTGGCTGGGTGTGTCCAGGTCGAGGGTCCCTGGCTGGGTGTGTCCAGGTCGAGGGTCCCTGGCTGGGTGTGTCCAGGTCGAGGGTCCCTGGCTGGGTGTGTCCAGGTCGAGGGTCCCTGGCTGGGTGTGTCCAGGTCGAGGGTCCCTGGCTAGGTGTGTCCAGGTCGAGGGTCCCTGGCTGGGTGTGTCCAGGTCGAGGGTCCCTGGCTGGGTGTGTCCAGGTCGAGGGTCCCTGGCTGGGTGTGTCCAGGTCGAGGGTCCCTGGCTGGGTGTGTCCAGGTCGAGGGTCCCTGGCTGGGTGTGTCCAGGTCGAGGGTCCCTGGCTGGGTGTGTCCAGGTCGAGGGTCCCTGGCTGGGTGTGTCCAGGTCGAGGGTCCCTGGCTGGGTGTGTCCAGGTCGAGGGTCCCTGGCTGGGTGTGTCCAGGTCGAGGGTCCCTGGCTGGGTGTGTCCAGGTCGAGGGTCCCTGGCTGGGTGTGTCCAGGTCGAGGGTCCCTGGCTGGGTGTGTCCAGGTCGAGGGTCCCTGGCTGGGTGTGTCCAGGTCGAGGGTCCCTGGCTGGGTGTGTCCAGGTCGAGGGTCCCTGGCTGGGTGTGTCCAGGTCGAGGGTCCCTGGCTGGGTGTGTCCAGGTCGAGGGTCCCTGGCTGGGTGTGTCCAGGTCGAGGGTCCCTGGCTGGGTGTGTCCAGGTCGAGGGTCCCTGGCTGGGTGTGTCCAGGTCGAGGGTCCCTGGCTGGGTGTGTCCAGGTCGAGGGTCCCTGGCTGGGTGTGTCCAGGTCGAGGGTCCCTGGCTGGGTGTGTCCAGGTCGAGGGTCCCTGGCTGGGTGTGTCCAGGTCGAGGGTCCCTGACTGGGTGTGTCCAGGTCGAGGGTCCCTGGCTGGGTGTGTCCAGGTCGAGGGTCCCTGGCTGGGTGTGTCCAGGTCGAGGGTCCCTGGCTGGGTGTGTCCAGGTCGAGGGTCCCTGGCTGGGTGTGTCCAGGTCGAGGGTCCCTGGCTGGGTGTGTCCAGGTCGAGGGTCCCTGGCTGGGTGTGTCCAGGTCGAGGGTCCCTGGCTGGGTGTGTCCAGGTCGAGGGTCCCTGGCTGGGTGTGTCCAGGTCGAGGGTCCCTGGCTGGGTGTGTCCAGGTCGAGGGTCCCTGGCTGGGTGTGTCCAGGTCGAGGGTCCCTGGCTGGGTGTGTCCAGGTCGAGGGTCCCTGGCTGGGTGTGTCCAGGTCGAGGGTCCCTGGCTGGGTGTGTCCAGGTCGAGGGTCCCTGGCTGGGTGTGTCCAGGTCGAGGGTCCCTGGCTGGGTGTGTCCAGGTCGAGGGTCCCTGGCTGGGTGTGTCCAGGTCGAGGGTCCCTGGCTGGGTGTGTCCAGGTCGAGGGTCCCTGGCTGGGTGTGTCCAGGTCGAGGGTCCCTGGCTGGGTGTGTCCAGGTCGAGGGTCCCTGGCTGGGTGCTTCTAGGTCGAGGGTCCCTGGCTGGGTGCTTCCAGGTCGAGGGTCTTTCTTTCGTAAGCAATAATACACATAATTTAACACACGTAGTGAAGTTTCTGTATTTCCCTCAAAAGACTAACATAGCAACATCACCACCAAACATACAAATGCGTATGATTCCATCATGCTGCATAATACATAGGTCGAATTAATTCGATGTTAAAGTAAACATTAAATTGATCTTTCAAAACATTTTAGGGTTTTCAACATATTTTACAATATTAGTGCAAAAAAAAATCCAGAGTGGATAAAATTGATTTTCAAAGGTACAAAAAATCACTACAATGTTAATTACATATAAAATTTATTCATGGGGAGCTGGTCGACCGAGCGGACAGCACGCTGGATTTGTGATCCTGTGGTCCTGGGTTCGATCCCAGGCGCCGGCGAGAAACAATAGGCAGAGTTCCTTTCACCCTATGCCCCTGTTACCTAGCAGTAAAATAGGTACCTGGGTGTTAGTCAGCTGTCACGGGCTGCTTCCTGGGGGTGGAGGCCTGGTCGAGGACCGGGCCGCGGGGACACTAAAAAAAAGCCCCGAAATCATCTCAAGATAACCTCAAGATGGCTCCCTCTATGTTTCCCTTCAACAGTACAACACCAAGACGACGGTAAGACACAGCCACAAGGTGCCACGCTGAGGCGGCACAGAGCGGGATGACCTTGCCCTCTCTGCCTGACGGGTGCCAGGTATAAATGAGAGGGCAGGCACCGGACCCTTCACTTGATCCTCGTCGTCCAGTGCAGCATGTATTCCCAGGTGAGTGCCCCGCTGGTGAGTACCACCGTGGCTCTAGGTCAGTACCAGCCTGGTGAGTGCCACTGTGGCTCTAGGTCAGTGCCTCCATGGCTCTTGGGTACCCTTCCTGCGTCTAGGAGAGTGAGCCACACTGTGTCCACGAGAATGGGCATACTGTCTAAGAGAGTGAGTACTGTGTGATTATCTTAGACATACTGTGTCTAAGATAATCACCGCTAGTTAGGAAGGAAGGAAGGAAGGAAATGGTCTTCCTTCCTAAGAAAGGAAGACCATTTCCTTCCGTCTATACTTCAAAATGCTGAAACAAATATAGCTACGCATGAAGCTTCCCGGTACGAGCGTGAGGAGACATGAGACGAGAGGCGCCAGTGGTGTCCAACACCCCTCTAGTGAATCCAATTAACTTTCACACAACCTTGTTAGGCTAATTGCTTGATTGATAAAGATTAAGCCATCCTAAATGGGCATGAATAGCCCGTAAGTGGAGGCTCTTTGGAGCCATTACCAGTATCAATAGCTGAAGATCTGTGGATGGATAGAGTGATGATCTTCATGTTCGTTGCTGTTAGGCTAAGTGAAGGGTAATTATAGGATGCAGGTGAACCGTGTCTCGCTGGCTGTCACTGCTGACCAAAGCAGTGACAGCCAGCTTCGGACAGCTAACTGCTGACCGAAGCAGTTAGCTGAATGTTGGAACGATTCTATAGTTAACCGAGTTATTGAAGGGATTGGTTTAAGGTCCTCTGGGCTCTTATTTTTGGTTTAACTTTGTTTCATGACCAGCAAATATTTCCTGTGGGCCAAGTGACTGGTTTTGTTTTATGTTTAAGCTTTTGTTGCGAAGCTTAATGTTTGTGACTAGTAGTTTACAGCACTGGTTTACACTTCCCGTGACAGTAGTGTCGAGTCTGGTAACAGTGTTCTGTTATGTCCTTGGGGGCACTGATTTAAAATTGATATTCAGAATAATACTAATAATTGTTCTGTATTTTCATTCAACAAATAATCTTGGTCTTGTAGAGGGCGAGGCGTACCTAGGTGTTAGCTGGCTCTAAATAACTGGATGAGAGTGCTTGGGGTGAAGTTCTTTGGCTATAACTGATCTCCTTTTTGCCACTGTCAGATAATTATTTCTGTGTTGCTGGTTAGGGCGCCTCTAGTGATCTGATTTTATATGTTGGAATTATGCGATCTTTGACAGAGCTTTGTATTTTGTGCAGTGTTAAAATATATGTTAAGGGTCTCTTAGTACAGTAGGCTACGTTATCGATTCACAATTGGGGATCGTGAGGAACAGAAATGGTTGTCTACGTTTGCTTCCTTTCACCTGAAGCCTGTGTAGTTTTAGTTGGTATTGAGACACATCGATCAAGACAAGAATAAGCTTCCTGTCTCCACCAACAGGTATCATACGCCAGTAGGTGGTCTTCTTGGTCTTGTAGCAGATGTGATCTGTACCTTCTGTTCGGTGAGAGAGAGAGAGAGAGAAGATTAAGCCACCCAAAAGGTGGCTTGGGCATGAATAGCCCATAAGTGGTGGCCCTTTTGAGCCATTACCAGTATCAATAGATGATACTGGAGATCTGTGGAGGTGCGACTGCACCCTGCGTGACGGGAGATGTCTCCCGTCTTCTGTTCGGTGTTGTAAACACTTGTATATATGGGACACAGGTTCTGTAGGACAGGTGTCTTCATCAGTGGTTGCATGGCGGTCCCAGCTTTTGGATTACATTTCTTCAACATAACCATCAGAGTTTTCATTGATGGTAAAGTCCTGCCTCACTCTTCTGCGTTCCATATAAACCTGCGCCCAACAGGAGCTGTGTAAAAGAGGAAGGTTGACGTGGGTGTCAACTATGCATCACCTGGATCACCTTGATCCAGTTGATGGATACCACTCCCTGCTGGCCTTAAGACATTCTCCTTGCTAATTCCTTTTATGCACCGGAGGTGAGGAAGCCGCAAGTCCTTTCATGGCTGTTACCTCCAAGAAATGCAAATTGTCTTTACTCTGCATCTCGAAAGAAAATGTTCTTTGTAGGTATCAGAGAAGGAATACTTTGCTACTGCGACAGGGGAAACTTTCAAGCGAAACAGGAAACTGAGAGTGAAGACAAGCTGCCTTTCTTGGATAATATTGGCGGCTTCTTATACCAAGGGAACTAGCACAGGAATGTGGCTCAATAATTAGTGTGCTTCCAGCGTCTGAATCGCCTGGTCAAGCTGTTAAATACATTATCGAACATTGGCCAATCGAATCGTCCAAAGGTTTAATATTACTGAACATTAATAATTCCAATCCTTGAACTAGAGTTTCTGACTATTTCGATAATATTTTGCCGCATATGACAGAAATGTTTTGTGAATTAATTACAATTCTTCTAAACTGTGTCTGCAGACAGCGTGTTTGTTCCTGGTGGCCTCGCTGGCAGCGGCGGCGCCCCAGACCTACCAGGCTACGGGGGTGCTGGAGCCCGAGTCTTCAGACCTTGGCTCAAATGAAAGGATCGTCGCCGCCACCATCGACATTCTGCCAGAATTAGCCGAAGTCTTCGAGCGAATTGGAGTGGATGGTTTCAGAGACGGTGACCGAAGCCAGCAAGCGATTTTGGAGTTCTTGCCTCTCACACGCAAGCTCTTGAAGGCCAGGGCAGACGCTGAGGGCACTGAAGTAAGGAAGGAGGACCTGCAGAGAGTCAACGCCGCCGAGGCTGTCATGCCCGCAGTCAACGACTTCATTAACAGACTCAGAAAACTGAACGTGTATGGATCCAGTGATGCTCAGCAGTAACAATATCAGCTGGCTACGCTGTTCTTCACTCTAGAACTTACATTATACATTATATAAACCACAGTATGAATGAAATCATGAAATTGTAACATTTGTATCAATTTATTTATTCTCTTTTCGATAAAGAATAGACAAGTAATGCAGTCTTTGTTTCTAAGACCTTGATGGAACAGTATCAACATCCTTTACTACTTGGACCTCGTCTGGCTCCAGTACTAACTCCCCAAAAAAGGCGACATTTTGCTTTCTCCATTAATATATTTTACAAATAATGTCTTCAGCTTCATAGCTGTGAATCCAAATAATTGTTATGCAGCATCACACTGAATAATACAAGTTTTCTTAATAGCAAGAAACCCAACCACTTGGGCTGGACGTAGAGCAACGGTCTCGCTTCATGCAGGTCGGCGTTCAATTCCCCGACCGTCCAAGTGGTTGGGCTCCTTTCCCTCCCTCCCCCCTCTCCTGATAGTTCCTTTCTTAATAGTAAGAAGACAATGCAGTCTGGAAAAAGAGCTCCTGACCTGAATGCCTCTGTTTACTAGCACATTTTTTGTACCAAGTTTAATACACACTGCAGCTCATTGAGATCAAAAGCTGAAGATTAAGTCACCTCTTGGGTGGCTTAATCTTCATCAATCAAACAATCTTGTAAACTATCGTTGACAGGTTTCAAGTGATTCATTAATATCTAGAGAAAGTAGGTGAAGTTTTATCGTCCACACAAACTGGGTGAGCTTGACATTCCAACATGACTATCGAGTTGTAAACTACGTCCTACTTACCGCCTTGATCCTCTATTAAGCTGGGGACTATACATTCTAAGCTGCATCTTGACTACCTTTTTGTTCCACTCTTAAATTAAGCTGAGGATTATACACTTAAGCTGTGTGTTGACTGCCTTCTTGTACCCTCTTTAATTCTGGCGACCCTCGTCCAGACTTTGTCCGTCCCATACCCCAGACTATTCCCCATGCAAAGTTGGGCGAGGTCCCCAAGCGTCTGGCCTAAACCATAAACAGACAAACGGATATTCTCTTATTTTTTATAGATTGAACTTTGCCGGGTACCCAGCATGTTCAGAAACTGGCTGCTATCACGGCAAAAAACAATCTCGCCACCCACTCCCACACATCACCCACCTAGTCCAGAGAGAGAGAGAGAGAGAGAGAGAGAGAGAGAGAGAGAGAGAGAGAGAGAGAGAGAGAGAGAGAGAGAGAGAGAGTCTCTCCACCCACCCAACCACTTGGACTGGCTCTGGACGGTAGAGCCGAAGGTTTCGCTTCCTGCAGGTCGACGTTCAATCCCCGACCATCCAAGTGGTCCCACTTGAACCGTTGGCATATAAAGACACAAACGACATAATGCATCTTTCATAGCGTAGCTGGTCTTCACTCTCTTGTAGAATATGTTAAGCTGTATCTTCTGTTTAGTGCTGGTTGGGGTCACGCTTAGGTCGACTATGTGTGTCAAGACTCTTTCTCAGTCTTGTGGTTGCTGAAAACGAGTTCCTGTAGAAAAGTTCAATATACAGACACGTTTTGTAGTGTTGACCTCTTCATCAGAAGTAGCAAGAGTGATTCCTCTTTATCTAATGACCATTTCAACGACCCACAAGACGGAGGAAAGAATCCTGAAGCACGTTCATCAACACAGACTTGTCTCGTAGTATCATTAAACAGAAACGAACACCAAGTTCTGACAGGGACATATATATATATATATATATATATATATATATATATATATATATATATATATATATATATATATATATATATATATATATATATATATATATATATATATATATATATATATATGTAATGATATCTTTCTTGCTAACCGAGGTAGTATATCTCCATGTCTAGTGTATCAGAACTATAACTACTGGACTTAAATAACAGTTAGTGCAAATGTAACTTAAGGCTAAAACAGGGCAATAATACGATAACATTTTGTTGCTAATTTTTCTTAAACTTCTCGAGTTGAAGAGAGCGAACCTCGCAATCAAAGATTGAAGATAATTATAAGCATATATATTATCATATAAAAATAGAAATGCAGACAATAGTGCGGAATATATAATTGTTTTGTCGAGTGATGGGGGGAGGGGGGGGAGAGGGAAAGGGGGGAGGGGGGGGGGAGAGGGAAAGGGGGGAGGGGGGGGAGAGGGAAAGGGGGGGAGGGGGTTAGGAGTTTGAAGTTGTAGGAGGCGAGGGGAGGGAACTATCCGGGGGAAAAACGCCAAGCCATTACGCCTAAATAGCACTTAGAAGGTGGGGGGGGGGGGGACCAGGATAAGGATTTGGGTTGGGACAGAGGGGAAGAGGAATGGCACCCCCAACTACTTGTGGACGGTCGGGGATTGAACGCCGACCTTCATGAAGCGAGACCGTCGGCTTTACCGTCCAGCCCGAGTGGTCGAACAAGCAGCTTAGATATTTGCAGCTTGGACAGCCTGAGAGTCTCCGCCCAAGAACTGCATATCTCTCAACTGGTTCATGAAGGTGATGACGGAGGGCAAGACGGCTTCGGCGGCGTTGAACCTATACAGATCCTCCTCCTTGATGCTTGTGCCGTCGACCTCAGCCGCGGCCTTCCAAGCCTTGCGTGAGACGGGCATGAACTCCTGTATGACTCGAGACACCTGCTCGGGGTCGTCGGAGCGGACACGTCCCACTCTCTCGAAGACTTGAGTGATCTCCGGCAGAAGGTCAATGGTGGCAGCGACGACTTTGTCGTAAGGGCCGAGGTCTGCCGTGTCCGGCTGGAGTACCCCTGAGGCCTGGTAGACCTGGGGCGCCGGGGCGGCCAGGGACACGCACACCACCAAGCAAGCTACAGTCTGCACGCAAACAATATAAACATTTATGAATAATTAATTACAAGAAAAGGTACATTGCCCAGACCACACACACTAGAAGGTGAAGGGACGACGACGTTTCGGTCCGTCCCGGATCATTCTCAAGTCGATTGTCAAGTCACACAATCGACTTGAGAATGGTCCAGGACGGACCGAAACGTCGTCGTCCCCTTCACCTTCTAGTGTGTGGTCTGGTCAACATACTTTAGCTACGTTGACTCATCGCCTGCACAAGAAAAGGTATATATTCAAAGTGCAAATTTTGAAGAATTCATGAAAAAAAGTAAGAAACTGCGCATTTCACTGACATATTCATGGCGGGTATTGTTTACATGCACAAGACAATCATATCAATGTGATGTATCATTGAGGAGAAACTCAGTTGGAGCTACAAGGAGGATTTGAACCCACTCCCTTGGTACTCCCAAGTGCCCGTATAGGCGCCTGACAGCTGGGTGGACAGCGCTTCGGATTCGTAATCCTGAGGTTCCGGGTTCGATCCCCGGTGGAGGCGGAGACCAATGGGCAAAATGTTTCTATCACCCTGATGTCCCTGTTATCTAGTAGTAAATAGGTACCTGGGAGTTAGACAGCTGCTACGGTCTGCTTCCTGGGGTGTGTGTAACAAAAAGGAGGCCTGGTCGAGGACCGGGCCGCGGGGATGCTAAGCCCCGAAATCATTTCAAGATAACCTCCCAAGTAAAAGCCTGAAACCACTGGACCGCAATACGCTATAAAAAAAATGAAACCTGAGATTCAACTCAATCCACAAGGAGTCTGAAGGCTTTGAGATGATACCAAATCACGTTATCTGCGTACACGCTGTTGAGATACCGTTCTCTCCCCCCTCCCCACCAGCCACTTGGACTGGACGGTAGAGCGACGGTCTCGCTTCAAGCAGGTCGGCGTTCAATCCCCCGACCGTCCATAAGTGGTTGGGCACCATTCCTTGCCCCACTGTTCCATCCTAAATCCTTATCCTAACCCCTTCCCAGTGCTATAAAAGTCGTAATGGCTTGGCGCTTTCCGCCCTGATAATTAACAAACCCCCCCCCCATAACTGTTACAGCGACCACCTCCTCCCCACAACAGTTAAGGTGACCACCACCAGCTTCACCCCACAACAGACGTAGCCCCACCCCACTACTCCCACCGGCCTCACTCTTGTATATCTATCATCGAGTACCAAAGGTCAAGTTTCAAGTTAATCATTAAGCGTAGCACAATTGTTAATAATGTTAAATGTAGATAAATGATTTACTTGGATACGGTAATATTGGAGCGGCAGATGTGTGTGTGTGTGTGTGTGTGTGTGTGTGTGTGTGTGTGTGTGTGTGTCTGTTCACCTAGTTGTGTTTGCGGGGGTTGAGCTCTGCTCTTTCGGCCCGCCTCTATATTATCAGTCAACTGTTTACTAACTACTTTTTTATCCTCCACACCACACACACACACCAGGAAGCAGCCCGTGACAGCTGACTAACTCCAAGGTACCTATTTACTGCTAGGTAACAGGGGGCATTCAGGGTGAAAGAAACTTTGCCCATTTGTTTCTGCCTGGTGCGGGAATCGAACCCGCACCACGGAATTACGAGTCCTGCGCGCTATCCACCAGGCTACCAGGCTCCCGTATGTGTGTGTGTACTCACCTAATTGTGCTTGCGGGGGTTGAGCTTTGGCTCTTTGGTCCCGCCTCTCAACTGTCAATCAACTGGTGTACAGATTCCTGAGCCTACTGGGCTCTATCATATCAACAATTGAAACTGTGTATGGAGTCAGCCTCCACCACATCACTGCCTAAAGCATTCCATTTATTAATTACTCTGACACTGAAAAAATTCTTTCTAACGTCTCTGTGGCTCATCTGGGTACTAAGTTTCCACCTGTGTCCCCTTGTTCGTGTTCCACCCGTGCTGAAGAGTCTGTCATTGTCCACCCTGTCAATTCCCCTGAGAATTTTGTAGGTGGTTATCATGTCTCTCCTTACTCTTCTGTTTTCCAGGGATGTGAGGTTCAGCTCCTTTAGCCTTTCCTCGTAGCTCATTCCTCTCAGTTCCGGGACGAGCCTGGTGGCATACCGCTGAATCTTCTCTAACTTTGTCTTGTGTTTAACTAGGTATGGACTCCAGGCTGGAGCTGCATACTCCAGGATTAGTCTTACATAAGTGGTATACAGGGTCCTGAAAGATTCCTTACACAAGTTTCTAAATGCAGTTCTTATGTTGGCCAGTCTAGCATATGCCGCTGATGATATTCTTTTGATGTGGGCCTCTGGGGGCAGGTTCGGTGTGATATCAACCCCCAAATCTTTCTATTTGACTCTTGCAGGATTTCACCTCCCAGATGATACCTTGTGTTCAGCCTCCTGCTCCCTTCTCCTAATTTCATTACCTTACACTTTCCTGAGTTGAACTTTAGCAGCCATTTTCTAGACCATTCCTCCAGTTTGTCCAGGTCATCCTGTAGTCTCTGTCTTTCTTCATCCGTCTGTGTGTGTGTGTATGTGTGTATGTGTGTGTGTGTGTGTGTGTGTGTGTGTGTGTGTGTGTGTGTGTGTGTGTGTGTGTAATTACCTAAGTGTAATTACCTAAGTGTAATTACCTAAGTGTAATTACCTAAGTGTAATTACCTAAGTGTAATTACCTAAGTGTAATTACCTAAGTGTAGTTACAGAATGAGAGCTACGCTCGTGGTGTCCCGTCTTCCCAGCACTCTTTGTCATATAACGCTTTGAAACTACTGGCGGTCTTGGCCTCCACCACCTTCTCACCTAACTTGTTCCAACCGTCTACCACTCTGTTTACGAAAGTGAATTTTCTTATATTTCTTCGGCATCTGTGTTTAGCTAGTTTAAATCTATGACCTCTTGTTCTTGAAGTTCCAGGTCTCAGGAAATCTCCCCTATCGATTTTATCAATTCCTGTTATTATTTTGTACGTAGTGATCATATCACCTCTTTTTCTTCTGTCTTCTAGTTTTAGTATATTTAATGCCTCTAACCTTTCCTCGTGGCTCTTGCCCTTCAGTTCTGGGAGACACTTAGTAGCATGTCTCTGCACCTTTTCCAGTTTGTTGATGTGCTTCTTAAGATATGGGCACCACACAACCGCTGCATATTCTAGCTTTGGCCTAACAAAAGTCGTGAACAATTTCTTTAGTATATCGCCATCCATGTATTTAAAAGCAATTCTGAAGTTAGAAAGCATTGCATAGGCTCCTCGCACAATGTTCTTTATGTGGTCCTCAGGTGATTATTTTCTATCTAGAACCACCCCTAGATGTCTTTCTTTATCAGAATTCTTTAAAGATTTCTCACATAATTTATAGGTTATGTGGGGTCTATGTTCTCCTATTCCAGGCTATTTGTGTGTATGTGTATGTGTATGTGTGTGTGTGTGTGTGTGTGTGCGTGTGTACTCACTAAGTTGTGCTTGCGGGGGATTGAGCTTTGGCTCTTTGGTCCCACCTCTCAACCGTCAATCAACTAATGTACAGATTCCTGAGACTACTGGGCTCCATCATATCTACATTTGAAACTGTGTATGGAGTCAGCCTCCACCACATCACTCCCCTAGTGCATTCCCTTTACTAACTACTCTGACACTGAAAAAGTTCTTTCTAACGTCCCTGTGGCTCATTTGGGTACTCAGTTTCCACTTGTGTCCCCTTGTGCGTGTACCACCCGTGTTAAATAATCTCAAATGTATGTGTGTGTGTGTTCATTCTCGAGTGTGTTTACAGGGTCTCTAATTTCATTTGATGTCCAGAATAACGAGAAACACGTGGCAAGGTCACCAGAACCCAGAGCAACTCATAAGAAAAACGAATCACGTTATGAGGAACACACAAGTTAAATGAGTCCGGGGCAAGTTATGAGAAGCAAAAGAAGCATTTAAAAGCAGCAGCAGCAGCAGCAACAGCAGCAGCAGTACTAACCAGGAAGTGCATGACGGCACTGGCAGCTGGAGAGCAAGTGATGCTCACCGGGTCCCTGAAGCTGCCTTTTATACGAACTGTCCCTCCTTACCAAGTCACGTAGGGGCATAACAATACTGAATTCAATGACTATGTTTTTTATATTTTTTGTTACCTTCGAGGACCACCAGGGGTTATTCGTGACGGCTGGCAGGGAAGAGTTTATCTCAGAAGGTCACACGTAGCTTTCAGGACGCTGGAGCGAGTCTGGAGGCTCCTGGAAGCGACGAGACGTGTTGGTTTCCAGGAATCAGAGGGAGGGGCAAGGCTGAACGCAAACTTCTTTTACGGTTATTCCGTATGGTCCCCCCCCCCCCATCATCATGAAGGCACTTACAGCCTTCTTCAGGCTCTTGTTATCTTGAGGTTATCTTGAGATGCTTTCGGGGCTTTAGAGTCCCCGCGGTCAGGTCCTCGACCAGGCCACCACCTCAGGCTCTTGTTATCTTGAGGTTATCTTGAGATGCTTTCGGGGCTTTAGTGTCCCCGCGGTCCGGTCCTCGACCAGGCCTCCACCCCCAGGAAGCAACCTGTGACAGCTGACTAACACCCAGGTACCTATTTTACTGCTAGGTAACAGGGGCATAGGGTGAAAGAAACTCTGCCCATTCGTTTCTCGCCAGCGCCCGGGCTCGTTAACGTCCAGGGAATCGTTTGCTTATCAATGTTTTGATGGCTAAGATGTCCTGTGGTCCATTATAATGAAGGGCCAAGACGTATTCAGGATGTCAAGACAAGTTCTGTTGTTCTTAGTCACATAAAAAGCTGACTCCAAAATTTTCTTGGAATTGGAGTCGGGGACAAAAATATTCGTCTATCAGATGTTATATATGTGTTCTTACGTAAGCAAATAGCTTATACAAGAAAGGTCATTCTTGTGTTTTAATGTACAACTTATGCAAGTTTCATCAGAAACAAATTATAAACGATTAATGAACTTAAAAATAAAAAAAAATAACTTAGCCACATAATATATGGTATTTATAAAATAGCTAAAAAAAGTGTCTAAAAATGACTAATTTTAATGTCCCAATCTAACCAGCGTTTATTCTACTCCTTCCGTATCCTCCTCTACCTCCAAATAATTATAAATTTCCTCTACGCAAGTAGAGCAAAGACGTAAATGCTTCATCACACGCACAACGACATTAGGATATTTTGGATGTATTCCGGAGTCCAAATAAAAATGTTTCTTTGAATAAGGGATAGACCCTCCCCGCCAAACACACACCGAAACTACGACGCTGGTACAACGTTCGAACAAGTTTTAACACCTAACCAGTTATAACAACCAATATAGCAAGTTGTAACAACGTTCTAATACGTCATAAACACGTTAAGCCAAGATGTAACGACTTTATTACAAGTTGTAACAAGAGGAAAATAGAGACAGTTTCGGTTTGTGTTTCCATTAGCATAAGGAACAGCTAAGGTGCTGGTAGGTGTGAGGAGAGGCAGGAGGCGGTGCTGGTCGACCAACCCGTCCTCCTAAGGTTTCCCAACGTCAAGAAAACGGTCAATTGACAGTGTCCTTATCCTAACCATCCAGAGGATCCAAAACAGACAACGTGACAGTACGTCACTTTCGTCAGCCCACGGGAGACATCTCCCGTCACGCAGGGTGTAGTCGCACCTCCACTGATCTCCAGTATCAGTTCTTGGTACTGGTAATGGCTCAAAAGGGCTACCACTTACGGGCTATTCATGCCCGTGCCACCTTTTGGGTGGCTTAATCTTCATCAATCAATCACCATTTGGACACGGGAGACATCTCCCGTCACGCAGGGTGCAGTCGCTCCTCCACAGATCTTCAGTATCAGCTCTTGATACTGGTAATGGCTCAAAAGGGCCACCATTTACGGGGCTATTCATGCCCGTACCACCTCTTGGGTGGCTTAATCTTCATCAATCAATCTTCGCCAGCCGCTTCCATTTTCTACTACGACAATTGATGGCCTTAGGTAACGCATACGAGCGATAAGCGACGTTCTCTGTAGGAGGACAGACGTTGGGTCGAGCTAGGCGCCTCTATCTCCGCTGGAGCCGCATTTCCAGATTAACCCGCTAATCCTGGTTAGCGAGGAGGTTCTTGAGAGGTTAGGTTATCTTGAGATGATTTCGCGGGCTTAGTGTCCCCGCGGCCCGGTCCTCGACCAGGCCTTCACCCTCCAGGAAGCAGCCCGTAGCAGCTATCTAACTCCCAGGTACCTATTTACTGCTAGGTATCAGCTAGGGCATCAGGGGTAAAAGAAACGTTTTGCCCATTTGCCTCCACCGGGGATCGAACCCGGAACCTCAGGACTAGGAATCCGAAGCGCTGTCCACCCAGCTGTCAGGCGCACATTTTGGCGCAGACGGAGGGACTAATTTGTTTCCTCACTCATCCAAGTTTTGGTTCAACTGAACTTCCACTTGCGCTTTCTGTTGTCTTGACTTAATGTAGGTCTTGTGATGGCAGTATACAGCACTTCCAGACCTTTGTAAATCACATTAATGACACTTCGATCACTTTATGTAGGGCATCTTCTTGAGATGATTTCTTGAGATGATTTCTGGGCCATTAGTGTCCCCGCGGCCCGGTCCTCGACCAGGCCTCCACCCCTAGGAAGCAGCCCGTGACAGCTGGCTAATACCCAGGTACCTATTTAACTGCTAGGTAACAGGGGCTTAGGGTGAAAGAAACTCTGCCCATTGTTTCTCGCCGGCGCCTGGGATCGAACCCAGGACCACAGGATCACAAGCCCAGCGTGGTGTCCGCTCGGCCGACCGGCATGCGTAAATCTGTGTATCTATTTACGTATGTAGGTTAGCTTAGCATTTTAAAAGTACCGTATCACCTTCTGTGGTTGATTGATCAATAAATCCCTGAACTATATGTTTAACACATCTCTAACCCTGTCCATGGAGGACAGAAGAAAATGTATATATGCTGGTTAGCATTGTAAATGTCTGGCCACGTCTGTGGTAGAAAAAAAAGTACTTCCAGAACTTGATCACTGAAGAATTATATGTTTTAATTAGATCCTGGCGAGTCACACTGGTACATCTTAACCGTCAAGAAGTCTATCTTTTTCTTAGCTGGCCCCATCTCAAACTCCTCGAACCATCTCACACACGGTTTGGTAAAAATTAGTGGTTCGTCACGCGCACTGAGAAATTTCATGAAATATCAGGCAAGGAGACTCTAATAAAGAAATCGATCTCCACATCATTCCGAGAGATAAATGAACATCCTTTAGCAGTCTGTAAACAAATCCAGTGTCTGGGATGCTCCCGGACGCAGGTTCGAATCCTCGTTACGGCCCTTCTGAATTTGTTAATTTGATGCATCACGTTAGTGTGATCTCTGTGTGTGTGAGTAATGTCTGTGGTTTTCAACAGCGTCATCTGCCACCAGGGAAGCGCCATGATCGCTGTTACTAACCCTTTATGAATCTTCTACCTGTGAAAGCTTTGATCCTCACAGACACCTCTCAAAGTATGCTTCAACGATAGATAAGGATTCCAGAGACACCAATCTGTTGTCCAACTACATTCTTAAGCCTTTCTTTGGGTACCACTTTGACGTAAAGGTACAAAAAAAAAACTCAGGTAGTGGAAACTTTACGCATACAACACCTGCGAACTAGCCTGAATGGTCCCCAGGACTATGTTACAGTTTACAATACCTGTTAAACAAGTTTTAGATTTACAGACAATTACACACGCACTGCGCACTGCGTGTAAAAGCAAACGGATGCATACGCAAGCTAGGCACAGGAAGACTCGACCTTAAAGAGTAGAAGTGAATGTAATGTTGTTATAGATTCAGCTACTCGGAACAAGTTCTAAGTAGCACGGGCTATAGTGAGCCCGTAACTTACCTGGCACAGGAGCGGGGCAAGTAGCACGGGCTATGGTGAGCCCGGAGTGGGCTTACCTGGCACAGGAACGGTGCTGTGGTGAATGTAATTTAGACAACTGAATATATAACGGAGAGTAAAGTGATGTAAAGTGGACTAATAAGGTATACCACAGCGTCTCTTGGCGTCCTTCATTGAAATTGAAATAAGTTTATTGAGGTAAAATACACACAAAGGGATGAGGTAGCTCAAGCTATTCTCACCCCGTTCAGTACATAGTGTTAATACATACATATAAACACATCACAAACAATAAACATATTACCAAACATTCTGAGAGATAAACATCTACATTTCCTATCGTCTTTCATGTTTATGGTGCCTGGGGCAGGATGCTGAATGTTTTTCAGCTGTAGTGGGACCTATTAACTCAAGCGACACCTTACTTAACCTGTTCACTCATTTCTATATATGATTGCTCCTCCATAAATTGTTCTCACACGGGAGACATCTCCCGTCACGCAGGGTGCAGTCGCACCTCCACAAATCTCCAGTATCAGCTCTTGATACTGGTAATGGCTCAAAAGGGCCACCACTTACGGGCTATTCATGCCCGTGCCACCTTTTGGGTGGCTTAATCTTCATCAATCAATCAATCAATCAATCAATTGTTCTCACCACCACCTGAGCTCCACGGCTTGACTCACCTAAATCTCTACCTCATCTCTGACTGTGTATATACCTTCTCTTACCATCTTGAGATTATCTTGAGATGATTTCGGGGATTTTAGTGTCCCCGCGGCCCGGTCCTCGACCAGGCCTCCACCCCCAGGAAGCAGCCTATGACAGCTGACTAACACCCAGGTACCTATTTTACTGGGCACCAGGTACCATGCCTGCTAAACCACCATATCTCACCTGAAGATATGGGGGTTTAGCAGGCATGGTACCTGGTACACAACGTTTCTTTCCAGGTCGGAACGAAACGCTGGGCACATCATATAGTCAATCATGCTGTGACTGATTCTCCTAAACCCAGACAGACCATAAATGCTAATAACCTAATTACCCAGTTCGACGCTGATGCATAGATGATTTGTCAGATGCCTCGAATTATGCCTTAATATGACAATCAATAACACTAGAAATGCCATCACTTTATATATATATTAAACAAAATGTGTGTATATCACGAAAATAAACACGTGATTAAAAATGTGACAATGTCAGACCACGGAGGAAAAATGAAACTCCTTCTGGAGATGCATTAATATACGAAAGTACTTAAGAATTAAACAAAATATCCACTCAAAAGGTTTCTGTTAATGGTATAAAATTATTAGGATTTGCGGTAACGGTTATCGTGCAATTGACGCAACGCGCTCTGTGTGAGAATATAAAACAAGGCCCAGCGTCATAACTAACCCCGCAGTTACCAGCATGCAGACACCACGCCGTTAATAGACTTTCATCTCTGGGAGTGTGCCCTTGGTGCTTATATAAGTGAAGCATCGGCCACCACCACCACCACACTCCAGCTAAACCTGCTCCCAGCGTCATGCTCGCTCAGGTGAGTCCATCGTCGTCGTCGTCCGAATTTCCTCCAGTCTGTCCTCTTACAAAACAACGTCGCATTTGAAGCGTACTTTATTGTTGTTTTTAGATTCAGCTGCTCGAAACAAAAAAATAAAGTTCCAAGTAGCAAGGGTTATGTTGAGCTCGTAAGTGGACTTACCTGGCACAGGAGCGGGGCTGTGACTGCATTTTGCTCGTATGTGTTACATCAGGGGCAAAAATTGTACTAGGAAATGGAAATGACTGGCGAAAGTGACGTTCTGTCCCGTTTTCTGTTTTGGGTTCTCTGGTAGGTTAGGAGATTACACTTTAAAATGACCGTTTTCTTGACGTTGGGGAACTTTAGGAGGACGGGCTTGTTCCTCAGCCACCTATGCCAATGGAAAAACTTTGCGTTGTACAGCCTCTTTTTTTTGTTTTTGTAATAAAGTTGGTGAGGAATGCAAATTGCTGTGTTGGGATTCCAAGAGAATGGAATGGAATAATTAGCAGAAAACACCAAGCCATTACGACTATATAGCACTTGAAAGGAGTCAGGATAAGGATTTGGGATGGGACGGAGGTGAAAGGAATGGTGTCCAACCACTTGGACGGTCGGGGGATTGAACACCGACCTGCAAGACGCGTGACCGTCGCTCTACCGTCCAGTCCAAGTGGTTGGGGGATTCCAAGAGAAAGATTGTCTGGTACAAGAGCAAAGTGGAAATATGCAGCGTTTTAATTTTGCTATAATAACTTAACTAATAATATTCTTTTCGACAATAATTATGTAAAAATCAATACAGCAATATGCAATAATCACTTTTACGTTTAATATTGAGAACTTTAGAGTATATGAACGGCACATCACAGTAATTCTGAACGTACTGTAGGGAGTTTGGACGTACGATCAAGTACGTGCAAATTTACGTACCATTTTGTTTTCCTCTTGTATATTTATCATAGTACGTACTACAGCATGCAAAGGAAATGAGAGTAACAGTAACGTGAACATTAAGAAGGAATGGAACAGGTGTCATATTTTTTATCATTACATGTTATTATAAATTGTTAATAGTTTAAAAACAGTGATAAAATATATCTGCGAATGAATATAAAAAACGACTGAATATTTCCACGAACACACTACATAACTAACTTAAGACTGCAACTTTTTCTCAGACGCGTAAAATCAATACTTATCAGCTTTAGTGATCAATAAAACATGAATTAAACGCTTAAATATTTTGTTCCCAGGTGTTGGTCTCAGTCGTGCTGGTGTACGCCGGCCCAGTACGAGCTGCTCCCCAGGCCTACGGAGTGCTGAAGGTGCAGGAGCCCCAGGCCCGAGCAGAGCAGCTGGGGCCCTACGAGAACCTTGTAGATGTCATCGTCGAGAGTCTCCCAGAAATCACCGAAGCTTTTCAGAAGATAACTAATGCTCGCAATTCCTCTTCGGATCCTGGAGACATTAGCTTCATTGAGGAGATGGTTCTGTCTTTCCTGCCCTTCACCGAGAAGCTATTTAAGGCCACGGCTAAGGCGGAAGGCAGGGAGGCAAGCCCTGAGGAACTGGCAAGAATGTCTCGCGTCTCGGAGGTCCTGCCAGGTTACTTCCGCCTTCTCGAAGACATGATAAAAAGGGATTCTGAAGGACAATCTGGTCCCGCTTCTGTGGAGTCCGGCTCATCAGACGCTGCTGGGGTCGGGTCTGCCTCCCCGGCCACAGGCGGTTAAGCAGCCTCTGCTCTGACGAACCACCATCAAATTCTTAGTTACCTCGGGAAGCAGGTCTGGGAGCGCGAGTTACAGAACGAGGGCACACGAACTCCCACAAAAATATGCTTCGCTCTTATGAAAAAAATATGTATCTGTAACAGTGTTCAAATCTGTTTTCACACTTGAATGTTATGTTTGTCTAGAGTTCTGGCCAACTTTTATATTTTACATTAAAAATTGTGTTTTATTTATAAAGAAAAATGACCTTCGACGTTAAATAACGATCTATAAATAGGCGTGTAAACATGCCTTAGTATAAAAAAAGAAAGAAACCTAAACAGATATATATATATATATATATATATATATATATATATATATATATATATATATATATATATATATATATATATATATATATATATATATATATATATATATATCAGAAAACTCACCCCTGAAGGATTCGAACCCGAACAGCCAATGCTCCATGCACCTTGGCGTATCCAGTACTTTCACCACTAGGCTACTCTGACTGTACAAAAAAATTGTATGTCATATCTGACCCTTAACCCAACTCCCGACACTCTCGGTGACCTTTCAGGGCACCGAAAAAAAAGTTATTAACCAATTCCAAATTATCTAGAACATTGCTTGTGTAATTGTTGACAGGAGACGGCAGTGGATAACCACATAACTACAACATTGGTCTTCTGCTGTTATTTAAGAGGCTTCTTGAGCAACAATTGCCACCAGAATTCTAAGGAAGCGCTGGGATGCTCCCGGACGCAGGTTCGAATCCTCGTCACGGCCCTTGTGGATTTGTTCTAAGGAAGCTATCCCAGTTTACTGGAAGAACAGGGGGGGGGGAGGGGTTGAGATGTAACCATGGCAACAGGAGCTATAATCCAAGATGAATATAAATGACCACAAGACTTAGTGTTTACGATTCAGAGCTGAGACTATATATGGACTCTCTCTCTCTCTCTCTCTCTCTCTCTCTCTCTCTCTCTCTCTCTCTCTCTCTCTCTCTCTCTCTCTCTCTCTCTCTCTCTCCCTTCCTTGACCTCAGGTGACCTCTCCTGACGACAACAGTGTTGAGGGTCAAGGTGGGCGTCGGCCAGTAAGACAAGTGCCTCAAGGTGGCCATTGTTTCTTCTCAGCTGCTCACAGGAATAAGGGTCGCTGCCATTAGTGTGTGAGACGTATTTGTTATACATGTCAAGGGCACTTTTGAGTTACCCAGTTCTCATTTTCTTCGCAGCGTCATCTTCTTCTGGTTCAGAAACAGGAGTTGTTGATTTGTGCAACCAATTACCACGTAACGTAATCGGCGTTAACTTCCCCCCGCGACAGGTAAAAGGCTGGTTCCCCATTTACTCCGGTAATCGTCTGCGGCAAACAGTTCGCTACGTAATCGCAGTAGGATCCCTTGATTGTTTTAAGCGTAAGTTAGACATATATATATATATATGAAGGAGTTTGGGTGGTAATAAATAGGAGCTGCCTCGTATGGGCCAATAGGCCTTCTGCAGTTATTTTCATTCTTATGTATCTTCTTATCTTCTTATATTATAATTCCGTTCATTCCGGCGGATCATGTCACTAATTCCGATAGCCAGTAATTGTAGGTAATACGGATCCCTGTAGTACAATCTGGTTCCTTCTCGACGTACAATCGAGAATTCCGGGTTCGAATCCCAGGCGAGGACAGATTTTTTTTTCAGGGATATTCCTGCGCGGGCCCTAAGCCTCTGGCTGGCCCACTGGGCAGGCCCTAAGCCTCTGGCCGGCCCACTAAGTGTTGCTTGTTTCTGTTTTACTTGGGCGGAGTATGAGTATTTATGACTCGTATGGTCGCTTCAGTAAGATTTTGTCCCATGTGTTTAACAACTTCTTCCGCTCTGTTGAATCTAAGTTGAAATCTTAATGGGGTTTGTAACTGTGCACTGTGTTAGATAATGTTCCAGTGGTCTGTTGTAGCTGTAACTGTGCACTGTGTTAGATAATGTTCCAGTGGTCTGATGTGGTTGTAACTGTGCACTGTTTTAGATAATGTTCCAGTGGTCTGATGTGGTTGTAACTGTGCACTGTGTTAGATAATGTTCTAGTGGTCTGATGTGGTTGTAACTGTGCACTGTGTTAGATAATGTTCCAGTGGTCTGATGTGGTTGTAACTGTGCACTGTGTTAGATAATGTTCCAGTGGTCTGATGTGGTTGTAACTGTGCACTGTGTTAGATAATGTTCCAGTGGTCTGATGTGGTTGTAACTGTGCACTGTGTTAGATAATGTTCCAGTGGTCTGATGTGGTTGTAACTGTGCACTGTGTTAGATAATGTTCCAGTGGTCTGATGTGGCTGTAACTGTGCACTGTGTTAGATAATGTTCCAGTGGTCTGATGTGGTTGTAACTGTGCACTGTTTTAGATAATGTTCCAGTGGTCTGATGTGGTTGTAACTGTGCACTGTGTTAGATAATGTTCTAGTGGTCTGTCGGGCATTTCTCCACAGTGCTGACATTTCCTCTCATCTTCCGGAACCTGTAAGCCTATTTCCCATCAACATGGGTATCCAAGCCTGATGCGATGTAAGTGTACTTCTGTTGCTCTACTGCTCCCTTTAGAAATGGTTGGACACATTTCCTTTCACCTAATGCCTCTGTTCACCTAGCAGTGAGTAGGTACCCAGGAATTAGTCAGCTTGTTGTGGGGGGGGGGGTTGCATCCTGGGCTTGGTCAGTAATTCGACCTTGAGGGAAGGGGGGGGAGGCGATAAAAGCCAAATCGCGTATGAATACACTCTGGCGTCCTGTCCCCGACACAATGAATTATTATTATATCTCATGAGCATCTGTAAGATATAACTGCAGACAAACTTTGTATTTAGTATGTTAATTTGAATGTAGTTCTCTACTTACATTTTTGCTACAATAATTCGTACGTTGTATTCTAAAATCAATTCAATAATTGACGGGCAGGCTTCGTCACCGGCCTTGAGAGAGCCCATGTGAGGTACCAGGCCCGCAGGGACCCTGGTACCTCCCTCTAGTACCGTTCCACCCGTCTATCCTAAAATTTATGTTCTATTGATCCTGCTTCAATCTATTAATTTCAAAGTTATGCATTGAGCATCTGCATCAATAACAAGCCCTCAGTATGTACCCAGTGTCTCCCGCGTTCCCGGAAGACACTGGGTACAATGGTTTTGTTCTCCGTCATCCAGGCGGAGAACAGTGAACCTCAGCACCGCGCCCAGACCTGGAAGCGCGACGCAGGGCGTATATAAGGGCGGGACGTTATCCTATCCTAACCACAGTGGGTGTGGACCCTTAGCCGTCATCATGCTGCTGCAGGTGAGTGTGTGGAGGCCACAGTATCCTCCATATGGGGGGACAGTATCACAGTATCCCTATCCATATTCCAGCATGGCTTTCTTCAGCCCAGTATGACGCGACAACTCCAGTGAATAGATATTAGTATTTACATAGAGAATATATACGTGCCACTGAGACCAGGACCCGGATTCACGAAACAGTTACGCAAGCACTTACGAACCTGTACATCTTTCCTCAAACTTTGACGGCTTTGGTTACATTTATTAAACAGTTTACAGGCACGAAAACTTCTCAATCAACTGTTGTTATTGTTATAAACAGCCTCCTGGTGCTTCGGAGCTCATTAACTGTTTAATAATTGTAAACAAAGCCGCCAAAGATTGATAAAAGATGTACAGGTTCGTAAGTGCTTGCGTAACTGCTTCGTGAATCTGGGTCCAGGCTTTCACTAGAATTCAGTGGGTATTGTAATTCAGTTTAGAACAGCGATTAAACTAAAGTAATAAGAATTGGATAGTTTATATAATTAGTGAATTTTTCGTGAACTGAAGTATCGTGATTCGTGAATTTCATTTCATATATAATTTTGTGTTATGATGATTAATTTGTTCTGTAACGACGACGAAGACTGAGCATTAAGTGAATGATTTAAGATGAATTCGATTTTTCAGTGGAACTTTGGTATTGATCTTTCATATCAGCAGTTTATTTGATTAAATCCTATTCCTAACATATTCTGTGTCTATTATTCCACTAATTCCTTTCATTACTCCCATTTAATTTTCAATTACTCCTTACTGATATTACCAATATTACTACTACTACTACTACTACTACTAATATTATTATTACTACTACTAATTATAATACTACCTACACCAGAGAGTATGCTGATTACATGTATTTTAAAATACGTGATTTTGTAATAACATCATTTTTTTTAAATGCTGCTTACTCATTATGGCACACATGACTTGATAAGCTTTGAACCTTATAATTATGAGGTTATCTTGAGATGATTTCGGGGCTTTAGTGTCCCCGCGGCCCGGTCCTCGACCAGGCCTCCACCCCCAGAAAGCAGCCCGTGACAGCTGACTAACACCCAGGTACCTATTTTACTGCTAGGTAACAGGGGCATAGGGTGAAAGAAACTCTGCCCATTGTTTCTCGCCGGCGCCCTAGGATCGAACCCGGGACCACAGGATCACAAGTCCAGTGTGCTGTCCGCTCGGCTCCCTAATTTTATGAGTTCACAATTTTATCTTCCATTTTTTCATCTTATTTTTCAGATAGTGTAGTTGAATCTGGAGGCTTTAGAAGCCAACACATATTGAGTTCACTGATAATGTTTCCTGTCCTGTCTCAGATTGTGGTCGCCGGTGTATTGCTGAGCTGCGGCAGAGCGCTGGGTGCGCCACAGACCTACGGGGTAGTGGAGGTCCGGGAGCCACAGCCCAACACAGTGGAGGTGGGACCCTTCGAGAGGATCGTCAGCTCCGCCATCGACTTCCTTCCGGAGATCACCGGCTTGTTGCAGAAGATAACGAGAGCCCGGGATCCTGCTGCAGACAATTCAGTCGACTTTAAAACAGTTGAGGAAATTATTGTTTCGTTCCTGTCCATAACGGAGAAGATCCAGAGAGCGACGGCTGAAGCAGAAGGCAGAGAAGTCAAGCCCGAAGAACTGGAGAGATTTACTCGTGTGTCGAAGGCCTTGCCCGTCTACCTCCGCCTCCTCCAGAACATAACCAAAGGCAACTTTCCGGATCCCGTGGCCGCAGGCGTCGATTTAGCTCCTGCTCCCTCGTCCTCCGCTCCGCGGCTTGAGCCCCAGCCTCTTGCTGTAGAAGTAGCCACTCCTGTGCCACCAAACTTTGATCATTATGTTGAGGTACCTGGAACCACTTTCTATTCCTACAACCAGCAATTTGGGAGACGATAATCACCTACATGTACACCCACACACACACCCACACACACACGCACACACACACACACACACACACACACACACCCACACCCACACTCACACACATACACACCTTGGGCATGTTGAGCATTTCAATGGGGCAGAGTCTCTTTCACCCTGAGGCACCTGTTCACCTAGCAGTAAATAGGTACCTGGGAGTTAGACAGCTGCTTCGGGCTACACAACCTGGGGATGTGTGTGTGTGTGTCCGTGTGTTAAGACAGAAAAGTATGTAATAGACATAATAGAGGAAATAAAAAAAATGGTTAAAAAGGCGGGGGTCCAAGAGCTAATAGTCGAGTCTGCTGATACAAATAGCAAATACACCTGGTTCATTCTGTCCATCCTCACCAAAAATGAGTTTCTGTGAACAGGCTCCAGAGGATTTATTTTATTTCTTATTTTTTGTTTGCAACCCAAAATTTTGTTTTTTTGTTTGCAAAAAAAAAATATTGCAATCAATATTTTTGTTTTTTGTTGTTGTTGTAAGATAGCAGTTCATACCTTCCATGTTCATTGAGAGAGAGAGAGAGAGAGAGAGAGAGAGAGAGAGAGAGAGAGAGAGAGAGAGAGAGAGAGAGAGAGAGAGAGAGAGAGAGAGAGAGAGAGAGAGAGAGAGAGAGAATGAAAGGGATAGGGGGGAGAAGACAGGAAGGGAGGGAGGGAGGGTGGGGTAGAGAGAAGGGAGAGAGGTACAAAGAGAGAGACAGACAGAGAAACAGAGATATGGAGACCCGGGTACCGCCGGATACTTCTAGTTATAACAGTAGTAAAAGTGCCAAAAAAAACAAAATCCAACCCTTCCTCGACTCAAGTCCATTCCATCCAGCGGTCGACCCCACTAATGCATTCATAAATTTGTACATGCTGTTCATTTAAAACAGAACTTTTCTCAAATATAAATTAATATTATTATATATTAGCATATTGTGCATATTTAGGCACTGGTTAGGCTAGGCGTTCAGGTTCTGTTGGCAATTATTTGTATTTGTAGTGCAACCCGTCCTCGACTCAAGTCCATTACATCCAGCGGTCAACCCCACAGACGCATTCATAAATTTTAACATACTGTTCACTCAAAACGGGAATTTTCTCAAGTATAAATTAATATTATAAAATATTAGCATATTGTGTATATATAGGCATAGGTTAGGTTAGGTGTTTAGGTTCTGTTGGCGATTATTTGTATTTGTAGTACGTGGGTGAAGCATTTACAGCGTTGTGGTTCGAACAAAATTCGTCAGTGAAGCACTTGTTCCGGATATGTTCGAATGTCAGCAGTTGTGAGTCGTGTGTAAACCGCTTTTCATTCATAAACAGGGGGTTTGGCGGGTGCATGGAATCACTTTTGGATCTTTGTTTGGAGGACGGGCTGTTGTAGTACATGGGTGAAACATTTACAGCGTTGTGGTTCGAACAAAATTCGCAGTGAAGCACTTGTTCCGGAAATGTTCGAACGAAATCAGTTGTGAGTCGTGTGGAAGCCATTTTTCATTCATAAACAGGGGGGGGGGGGTTTGGCGGATGCATGGAATGGACTTTGGGTCTTTGTTGGAGGACGGGCTGTACCCACGACTCACAACTGATGACGTTCGAACACTTTTCGAACAAATGCTTCGCTGACGACTTTCGTTCGAACCAAAACGGTGTAAATGCTTCACCCACGTACTACAAATACAAATAATCGCCAACAGAACCTAAACACCTAATCTGACCTAACCTATGCATAACTATACATAGAACTTTTATGTATACTAATAATATTAATTTATACATGAGAACAAGCCCAGTAAGAAATTAATGTTTATCACTCAGAATGTTGGATAATATTTTTATTATTTGTGATGTGTATATGTATGTATGAACACGTTGTACTGAACGGGGTGAGAATAGTTTGAGCTACCTCATTCCCTTTGTGTGTAATTTACCTCAATAAACTTTTGCAATTTCAATTTCAACCCAGTATGAGAAAGCAACGCGTCCTCACACTAGGCTGTTTAAAGCAGCGGCCATCCTCCCCATACGCATTCATCAATTATAACATACTGTGTATTAAAAATTAGTTTGTTCTGATATATACATAAATATTATTATACAAACAAATTCTATGTATAGTTAGGCATAGGTTAGGTGTTAGCTGACGACTTTTGTTTGAACGACAACGCTGTAAATGCTTCACTCACTGTTGTTGTTGTTTAAGATTCGCTACTTGGAACCAAAAGTTCCAAGTAGCACAGGCTATGGTGAGCCCGTAGTGGACATACCTGGCACAGGAGCGGGGCTGTAAATGCTTCACCCACGTACTACACAAATACTTTCCAAAATATTAATAATCGCATACATACATAACCTACGCCCAGCTGTACATAGACCTTTAATATATACTAATATTAATATATACATGAGAACAAACCTATTTTAAATATACGGTACGATAAAATTGCTGAATGCGTCTTAAGGGACGAGGGCCAGATTCACGAAAGCACTTACGCAAGCACTTACGAACGTGTACATCTTTCCTCAATCTTTGACGGCTTTGGTTACATTTATTAAATAGTTGACAAGCATGAAAACATCCCATTCAACTGTTGTTATTGTTATAAACAGCCTCCTGGTGCTTTGGAGCTCATTAATTGTTTAATAATGGGAAACAAAGCCGCCAAAGATTGAGAAAAGATGTACAGGTTCGTAAGTGCTTGCATAAGTGCTTTCGTGAAACTGGCCCCTCATCTTTAACGAGCCTGGCCTGAGGACGGATTACATAATTACTAAAAAGCGAAACGACAATTACTAACCAAAAAATTGGCTAAAAAGCCTCAATAAAAGTATCCAAGATATTAAAAATTCCATTTCCTTTCAAAGACTAAGAAAATACGAGCCTAATAGAATCATTTGAAAGCAAAAAAGAATAATTATACACAAAATAGAAAATAGATCGTATAAAAAGCCTAAAGAACATGCCAAGAAAAGCAGGAAAAAACCCGCGGGTGTAAACAACCGAGTCGCGGATCGAGGCCGTGGACTCTGAGCTGCGGTGTGAACAGATTCCAAGTTTTTAAGGTTCAGTTGGCAAGGATTTGATGTCAGTCATTCGAAGGTTCTGAGAGTGTAAGTGCGGACGTCGCCTGACTTCACCGTGACAGCCGAGGCAGGAGGTAGACGTCACCCCCTTTCTTCCCTTAGACTGTGTTAGGTAAGTCCGTGACTTCAAGTGCTTTAAGTTAAGTTTCCTTCAAGGTAAGCTGTTCCGTAAGTCACACACACATGCTCGCGGGAGCGCCATCAACGTTGTTTGTTGTTGTTTTAGATTCAGCTACTTAGAACAAAAGTTCCAAGTAGCACGGGCTATGGTGAGCCCGTAGTGGAATTACCTGGCACAGGAGCGGTGCTGTCTCTGGGCATCTACGGTACCACGAGGTCTTCCCGGCGTTACAATTACCCTTCGAACCGGCTCACAACCGAGGGGACCCGGGTTCAATCCTCAAGCACACCAGAAACGATTGGGCACATTTCTTCCCCCCCCCCCACCGATGATGTCTTTGGTCATCTGGCAATAAAATAGGGACTGGGAAATAGGACAACTATTTGCGCGTTGTATCCTGAGGAAGATCAGTGATTGGCTGAGGAGGTAGGGGGGGGGGGGGGGGAGGGGGGGAGGGGTTTGCTATGTGAACTTACAGGCTTCCTGTCCTGTAATTCTTTTTTTTCTAATAGTATGACTATTCAACCCATCCTCCTGATTTGAATAGTACTTTTTGTAACCCTGTGGACTATCGACAAGGCAGCCGGTGGCTGAGCGGACAGAACACTGGACGCGTGATCCTGTGGTCCCGGGTTCGATCCCGGAGAAACAATGGACAGAGTTTCTTTCACCCAGATGGTCCCCCTGTTACCTAGCAGTACTACGGGCTCACCATAGCCCGTGCTTGTAGCGAATCTTTAACAACAACAACAATAACAACCTAGCAGTAAATAGGTACCTGGGAGTTAAGTCAGCTGTCACGGGCTGCTTCCTGGGGGGGTGGAGGCCTGGTCGAGGACCGGGCCGCGGGGACACTAAGCCCCGAAATCATCTCGAGATAACCATCGTTCGTATTTTGACGTAAAGGACAATTAGTAGGTTTCGGTACTGTTCACTTCCATAGAGTCTGGATAAATAAAGTTAAAAGCAAACATCAAATATTCCTAGGCCTAGTAGAGCACATATATGTACTATATTATGCGTATATGTACTATATTATGTACTATAGGCCTCGGATAGCATGTTTTAGGCCTAGGATGGTTACGTTTCATTGACAATATGAAAAAAACGACTTTTCCGGTTTGTCCAAATTAAATAGTACCAAATTCTACTTTCTAATTGCCCATTACGTCAATATATGTACTCAGGTCCACATGTTACTATAGGTACTGTCTAAACAGGATAATGAGCAGTACTACTCCATCACATCTTTCAATAGTACTTGATGCAACAATTTGACTGACTAAACACACAGGGAGCCGGTCGGCCGAGCGAACAGCACGCTGGACTTGTGATCCTGTGGTCCCGGGTTCGATCCCAGGCGCCGGCGAGAAACAATGGGCAAAGTTTCTTTCACCCTATGCCCGTTACCTAGCAGTAAAATAGGTACCTGGGTGTTAATCAGCTGTCACGGGCTGCTTCCTGGGGGTGGAGGCCTGGTCGAGGACCGGGCCGCGGGGACACTAAAGCCCCGAAATCATCTCAAGATATCAAGATACAAAAATTTACCCCCCAAAACGTTTACATTTTAATATTATTGTTGAATCAGCCCAAAATGGAAGAACCTATCCGGTGCGAAATAAGCAATACTAGGCCTAATATACCCTGTATTAGAGCTAATTTTGTACATTTATGTGCTATGCAAGGCATAGCACATATGTACTATATGTACTATATGTACTATACTATATACATATGTACTATAGTACATATGTACTATAGGCACATATGTACTATAGGAAAGGGGTAAATATATTTCCATGCTCTCTCTTCAAAAGTTTATAGTACAAAACGTTGATGTTGTTTTCAGCAACAGTCTTATTTTTGTACGTTCGTGGAAATAGTTGCTATAAGTGATATAGCAAAGTCTTGTATAGCTAATAGCAAAGCCTTATATAGCTATAAGTGATATAGCATTCGAGCCTTCATTCAGGAGGCTCGAATGGACTATTGGTACAGTCATATT